GACAGAGTCCTAAGAATGGCAGTCATGCTCCTGGCTGAGGGAGCCAAACAGCTGACCTTGAGGAGATTCTGAGCCTGGAGTCTTCCTGGAAAGAGACTCAAGCATGGTCGAGGTGAGGAAGGTTCTCACCGTGGGCTTGAAGGATGGATGGGCCATAGAAGAGATGCAAGAGGCATGTTGGAGCTGAGCGTTCCCTGACCAGTAGCCATATGGAACCTGGACTGCAGATCTCCAGCCAGAGAGCTGAATTCTGCCTTGGGATGGAATGAGCTCAGAAGCAGGTTCTCCCCTAGATTCTCTAGATGAGAACGCAATCCTGGGCTACATAGCACTTTCACTGCAGCCTTGCAGGCCACAGGAGAGAAGTCGGCCATACTGTGCCCAGACTTACAACGCACAGGTCCTGGGGTAACTAACCTTGTCACATGGAGAGCCATCACAATCTGCTTGAATGAGAGAGATTTTGCTGCCTTTCATTGCATCATTGTCAGGGCACACATATGGGCCTTAGATATGTTCCCTTCTTTTTAAAAAAAGAAACCAACACAAAAACATTCCTTATCTGCAAGCAGAGCTCAACCGTTTTGTCTGGCTCTCCCCAACCCCACCGTCCCTTGCATTGTTTAAGACACGTTCTTTGCTTCCTGCCTTCCCTGCTGGTAGCTACTGTAAGTTCTACCCACTACAACTCCCCATCATGAGCAACCTGTGCAGTGATGGACGACAGGGGCCAGGGACAATTTGGGCGAATTCCATTCTGTCTCCCTGAACCCTTGGACTTTGCCTTATGAGCAAGATCTCACCTTGCCCTTTTCTGAATGGCCACCTCCACTGCACCTCAAGATCACATCCAGACCTTCCACATCTGGTTTCATGATCCCCCCCCGCCCGCCCCGCCCGCCGCCCACCCCCCCCCCCCCCCCCCCCCGCCCCACCCCCGCCCCGCCGCCCCCCCGCCCCCCCCCGCCGCCCCCTCCGCCCGCCCCCCTCCGCCGCCCGCCCGCCCGCCCCGCCCGCCCCCCCCCCCCCCCCCCCGCCGCCCCCCGCGCCCCCCCCCCGCCCCCCCCCCCCGTAGACGATCCAGTGGGGCTTACCTGCCATTGGATGTCTTCTTATAGGGAGACCTGACATGCAGCCTGTCTCCAAGCCACGGTGGTTCTCTGTCATGTAAACCATCAGAGGAAGAAAGAGGGGCATCTGATTAAATGACCACAGCCTCTGTGGGAGCAGGGCACCAGCTTCTGCAGATTTTGAACCTGGAGCCAGGTCCTGATCTCAGAGCTCAACATGCCCCACTTCTGGGCCACGTGAAAGGGGAATGTGTGTGAGTTTCTCCCTGTCTCCTAGCACTGAAGAACCAAAGCTTCCTTTCTTTTCATCAGCATGACTTCAGTTGGCATATGGCAGTGCTTCTCAGGTCTGCATCTGAGGAAGTCTGCCACCCTAACAGTGCCTCACTTGCTCCCAGCATTGGCAGACAGGTGCATGATTATGTGTCAGGAGCACACAGGCTCTTTCTTCCCACACCAGTGCACACTGTGGAGGGTGGAGACTGGAATGAGCACACAGGAGTGGACTGAGCTCATGAACCTGACTCTGCCCATGCATAGTGAATGCGTGTGTGTGTGTGTGCAGAGTTTCTCATGGAAAATTCAGACACAAGATTTCCCCACTGTCTCCCTGTAACCTTGGGAAATCACTCAGCCTTGCTGTGCCAATTTTTCCTCTGGCTCCTATGAAGAGCAGCACCTGCTCCGCTGCCTCCCACAACTGACACAGATGAAATGGTCTGCTCCACTCAGCTGTGCCTGGGTCCTGAGGCCAGGCTTCATAGACCCCCCTCCCCTCCCCAAAGTACAGAGAAGTCATCTGTGAAATCCCCTAGATAGCTGTTGTTTTCTAGCTCATTTCTTTTGTGGAAAGATCATTCAGTCCTAAGATCCCCAGCACTTGTGGGATACTAGTAAAGGGATTTGAGAGGGATAGAAAAATGTTTGTACCAAGTAACAAGAGGAAAAGCAAGACATCTTGAAAAGAAAACACCTCGTGTGTAAAACTGGAAACCTGGGCATCCAGATGGGGTTTTATAGTCATACCATAGCCAATTAACTGCAATGTATGATCATAGAATGGAGGGAATGACAGACCAGATGGGAGTTACACAGTAAATGTGGATATCACTGAGTCCTGTTTTTGTTCAAAAAGAAAGAAAAAGAGCCAGGTGTGGTACACTACTATAATCTCAGATTCTCAGGAGGCAGAGACAGGATGATCATGAATTCAAGCTCAGTTCAAGCAAAGGTAGCAAGATCCCATCTAAAAAACAAAATAAAAACAAAAAAGGCTAGGTATGGCTCAAGTGGTAGAGTACTTGCCAAGCATGCATGAGTCCCAGCCAAAAAAAACAAGAGAAGGAAAATTAGAAGATACATTAACAGGGCCAGCCCTGGCTGATAAGGGCCCATCCCAGCTATGGGAGGGTGCCTGGCTTGGCACAGGGTAATGACCTGGGCCTAGCGCTGATGTGTCTGTCATACGGTACCTTCTTTGGGATGGCTGGCTCTCCTTGAGGACCCACTGCTTAGCTTCTTCCCTCTTCTCATCTCCATCTGCTCTTCCCAGTGTGGACTCCTGGCCCACAGCTTTGGTGTCTGGAGCTATCCTTTCCTCAACAAGAAGTGCTTAAAAAATCTTGGTAAGATTCCCTCAATTAACCTCAGCCACTAGCCAGGCACTGAGGGGTTTGTTAGTTTCCACTTGAGTTTTAAAGATAAAACATTTCTAAACCTTAGCCCTCAGGCGTTTGTATTATATACCCTGGTGAAATGGTTACTCTAGTTTCTAAGCTCTATTTGCAGGATAATTATGTTATTTTCCTTTTCCTCTAGCCCTGCTGGTTCCTTCTTGGCTCCATGTATCTGGGTTTTGATTAGAAATCCATGCTAACCGACTTAGGGCTGGTTATTGGAAATCCATCGTGGCTGAGAGAATAAGTGAAATTTCTTTATGTTTAGTCAGCATAAACCTGCATCCCATGGGTGCCCGCAAAGGCCTCTAGAGCTTGGGGAACTGGAAAAATTTAGGGTCTCGGTTTACAGACACCGTATCTGAATAGCTCCCTATTGGAAGAGGGTGGATTTTTGTCTGAAGTCTGTGGCATGGTTAAGCCATTCAGATTTGTTCTGGGCATTTTTCTCTGCTTCTCTCTCTTTTCCCTGCCCCAAACAGAGCAATTACAATGTAACCACTGAGATTCTGGCAACATAAAAACAGAGCCATTACCACTTGGAAGGAAAGACAAAAAGTGCTGGTGAGTAAAGCACGAAGTAGTGAAATCTCCCACAAGGTGGCCTTCACCAGCATCTGCTGGGAGCCCATGCTGTAAAATAAACAGCTCCGGTGGGGCCATGTTAGCTGACAGAGGACACTGTAGTCCTCCCTGCCACCCCTAGCCCCTGAAACGATGGGAAAGGTATTTCATAAAACTTGTGAGGTTCTTAAAAAGCCCGGCACATTCTTTTGTACACCAGAAAGCATGAGCAACCATGAAAAATGAAAGGCAGAGTTTTATTCTTCCTGAAAGAGGAAACCACAGCGCACATGCACACAGAAAAAGCTGCTGCCAGAGAAAGGTGGGTATTCAGAGGTGCTGATTGTCAGAATTGGAGGAGACCAGATGCTCAGGTCACATGTGTGACTTGGTAGGGGTTATCAGTCAGGATGGACTGAAATCCCAGAAGACAAATATATGAAAAGAGATACCAGTATACCATGTCATCATGGAAATAAAAATGTGACATATACGCCAGGCAATGGTGGCTCATGCCTATAATCCTAGCTACTAGGGAGGCTGAGATCAAAAGGATCACGGTTTGAGGCCAGCAGGGCAAGTAGTTCATAAGACCCAAAATCTCCAAAATTAATCAGAGTAAAATAGACAGGAGCCGAGGCTCAAGCCGTAGAGTACACCTGCTTTGCAAGCACGACGCCCTGAGTTCAAACCCCAGTCTTGCCAAAAAAGCAACATAATGTAGTCCAAAGACCTCAATGGTTGCAAAGAAAAAAAAAAAAGTGAGCTAGAAAACCAAACTGAAGAATCTGTCTAGGAAATGCGACAGTACCCCATAGATCTGTACAATTACTATGTCAATTTAAAAAAAGAAACTATCCGTCTATCTAAAGAAAAAGAACTGCAAGTAACAGGACAGCCAGTAAAGCCACGTGCTGCTGGCGGCCCTGTACTCCGATGTACGTGTAACGTAGAAAACAGGCTGAAATGACATTTGGAGTGCATTGGGTTAAACAAAATAGGTTCTTTAAGTGAATTTCACCTGTTTCTTTTTATTTTTGTGAATGTGGCTGCTAGAAAATTTTAAATTACATATTTGCTTCAAATTACTTCTTCATTGGACAGAGCTGCTCTGGAAGCCAGAGCAAAAGGACAGATAAGGGCTGGAGGTGTGGCTCAAGGAGTAGGCGAGAGTGAAGCCCTGAGATCAAATCCTAGTGTTACCAAAGAGGACAAGGAAGAAAGCTCTAGCACCTGTTTCTCTTTACAAAAAGACAGGTCAGATTGTAGAAGAGGAAACAACCAACTAACAGGAAAATTTCCCAAACTAGAATAAAAATAAGAGGCCTCCCACTGGAAGGGGCCACCCATGCTAAAGGAAAGCAGTCCCACTAAAGGTGGCATTGAGAGAGTGCCCATTCTTATGGTCACCATTACAGCTTCCTGAGACTTCTAGCCAGTGCAATAATGTAGCACAACAGGAAAGGAAGAGACATTTTCTTATCTGCAGATGGCATGACTGCCCACCCCCAACACTCCCCTTTTGAAAGGCCTGGCATAAACAGGGCTTGTCCGTTTTCGGCCTCCAAGGCATGGCCAATTTAGAACATCTCAGCATCTTTTCCTTCCCAGCAGGCTGTGTGATCCCCAAAGAGCTGATGTGAGCAGCCAAGAAAACGTGGCAGGAGGCCTGGGATAGAAGGGTGCTTACCGGCGGATGGCATTGGTGAACTCTGCAGCCAGCTCACTCTCGCTGCACGTTGTTCTTAGTTCAGCCAGTGACAGGGCTGGAGAGGCGGCATCGGCACACTCCTGGGGGTGGCAAACAAATTGTCATCAGGTGCAAAGCCTGGCTAGACGGCGCCTGGACACTGCAGAGAATGTTGGGTGAACCTCACAGTGATGGAGCAAGGGTTGTTATGCATGGCACCCTCACATCAGGTGAGGAAAAAGCCTGGCAGCCAACCAGAGTCCCATCTGCCTCCCAAGATCTGTGGTTACCTCAGTGGGCCGCTCGGTGGATGATGACGTGAGTGTTCTAAGCATTCACAGAACCAGTACTGGTCTAAGCCCCGTACTGACATCAGCCAGTCATCAGGACCCTCCAAGGTAGGTATTGTCTCTTCCTCATTTACCAAGAAGGAAATGAAGGCACAGAGAGGTTATACTGCTCAGTCACCAGCTCAGAACTGGCAGATCCAGGCACCAAACCCAGGCTGGTTGGCTTCAGGTGAGTTTCTTGAGTAGGAAATAGACACAAAGGTCCCACTTCTCCTTAAGAGAAGGGCAGCCTTCCCTAAATTTAGGAGCTCTGCTGGGTTCCGCATAATCATTGGGAAAACTCAGGAGAGGAGAGAAGTGCGCCCCTCCCCAGACAGTCATATCAGACTGGGACCCGGACACCATCTAACGCAAACCCTCCCGTCTGACAGAGAAGCCAGGGACTCCTGGATCCCACACAGAGTTAAGACACTCTTCATAAGCAGCAGCTGTGCCTGCAAGTGCCTGGCTTTCTGTGCAGATGCACAGGGCAGCAGCTATACTGCAGTGAGGCTATGCTCAACTGACTTTCGTACTGAGGATCTACTGCGCTCCAGGCCTGAAAATAAAAATCTGTGTTCTGTTGCAGGAGATGGAATGCAAACAGAAAAGTGTATCATGATGGAAGGAACTCATCCAGAAGTCTAGATAGCAGGAGGCACATTTTGTCCTCAGCCTATTTTCATAAGGAAATGCCCCTAACCCATGGGCTCCTTGAGAGCAGCATGGCCAACACCTGCTCACCCTTCTCTCTCCCATGCCATCTGCCTGGGCCACCTCCTCTCCCATCTCTCCAGTCAGCTGTCCTCAGAGACCCACTTGCAGCGGCCCATGGAAGCTGTCCAGATTCTGCAAGACCCTCACTTTTCCTGTGTCCACTTGTATGAAGTTAATGTTTCATAAGATTCCTTAAAGACAGGGACCATCTTGTCTCACTCATGGTGCCTCTTGGTGGACATATGTGGTCAGGTGTGCTACAGACAGACAACACCTACAAAAATCCTACTGCAACTCGGATGGCATTTGTGACCCAGCTGTGTTGGCTACAGAAGTTTTAAAAATAACCAGAAACACCCACCTGATAGAACAGGAGTGGGTGTTGTAGACCCAAACATGGCCCCCTGCCTGTTTATATGCAGCCCACAGGCTAAGAATGGCTGTTCTATTTTCAAAACAGGAAGAAAAGTCAAAGGAATATTTTGCAGCAGATACAAATGCCCTAAAATTCAAATTTCAGTGCTCATCAATAAACTGTTATTGGAAGGCAGGGTCCCAAATCCTAGCCAAGTTGCATAAGGATATTTTCAGTTCATGTCTACATGTAACATCCGCTGATTTCCCTATTACCTCTGCTCCACACCTCACAGGAAAACAGGAGAAGAGTAGCTACAGCAGAGTTGGCACTGACTATGAACCCTGAAATATTTCCTATCTTTCTCTAGAAAAGGTTGTTAACCTCTACTCCAAATTGCCTGCCTCATCTCCAACAAATAAGACCAATGAATAACCTAGGTGGGATAGTTGATTCAAACAGTAAATGGATCCAATATTTGAAATACAGGCTAATCAGCTTATTCGAATTTAATTTCCTAACCTGAACAGCATGGATATCTTTTATAAAGCTTCTTACGATAATGTTTAAAAAAAAAAATCATCTGGCCTTTTCCATCAGAGAAGTTTCTGTACTTTGAAGCCATTCCACAAAATACAGTGCTTCCCCAGTCAAAATAAATACCAAGACCTAGGAGAGAAAGCTCAGTTCATGGACCTCTGGCAAGAACCTGGTAAGTCTGTGTCTACCACACCCTAAAAACACACACAGATGCTCATGCGCAGTCTCTCAGGCTCAGACCCAAATTGACTACTAACGAACTCTAAAGCTATGAAAAGACCCTGAAAATATTTGTAGGGAGAGAAAATACCGTCTGAGATACAACCACATACAGTACCATTCTGGATGCTGCCTACTCTACCGCAGGTGTGATGCCCCCAGCACTGTGTGCTTGCCATAGTGACTTTTCCAAAGTCCAAACTATCATACCACCCCTTGCTGAAAACCCTTTTCTAATTCCTCACCGTCCAACCTGGCTGGCAGCCACCTCCAGCCAGCTCACAGATCCTTTTTCCCTTTGGGTCTTTGCATGGCCTAGTGTAGGCCTTCCTCTCCCCCCCAGGCCCTGGCAGCAGACTAGCTCCCACTCTCCACTTCTTCCAGAAAACCTGTCCTGAATCTCCAAATCCAGATTCTGTGTCCAGCCCCTGGCCTCCCATGGCACCATGAGTTGTGCATGTGGGACATTCTGTCACTGTGCTGTGACCATGTCTGGCCATCGGTCTCCTAGGAAGGATGTAAACGCCTGCAGGACAGTCCTCATCTATCTACCAGAGCTGACTCTAGCAGCAAACCTTGGCCCTGGGTTTGTGAGTGCCAAATCACAGTTCTGAACTGAATGGATGAAGGTAAAGGAACAAGGGCCTTAGAGTAGCTGGGGACCACAGCTGGGTACTTCCTGGGCTCCTCTGCAGGTGGGAGGTGGGGAAAGTTGTAGCGGTGGCTATTTGTGACACCAGCTTCAGAGTTCCTAGCTATTTAGGGAATGACAGTTCCACAAGGCATCAGCAAGCTCCTTCCTTCCAAGGTGAATAACTCTGCTGGAGACAGCCCTGCAGTCTCCAGTGCTGTGAGTCGCTGCTTATGAGACCAGCAAGTCAGCATATGTCCTTAAGTTCTGGGTCTGAAATGGACAGGGCACAGGAGTCAGGAGAAGCTGGCATTTCAGAAACAGAAAATATGATACCCCAAGACTAGGGATGTAATTCTTTAGGATCAAGAACTTTTTTTCTTCTTCCAATGCAGTATTTAGAAAAGAGACATAAAATGATAAAATGAGCTTGGATTCTTTAAAAAAAAAAAAAAGACCTGGGGGCTGGTGGGAGTGAGGGTTTGTAAAATTCTATCGCCAGAAGCCCACTCTGTGCTGAGCCAAGCTCTGCAATCCAAGGCTTGTCCTTCCTCTTTCCTGCATCCTGCTTGCCCCTCACTGATGGCTGAAACGCCCACAGGCATCCCAGAGCAGGGCAGACAGCAGGAAGTGGGTCTGTTGACCAAGTGTGGGTGACAGCCCAATGCTGCTGTTTTTACAGCAGCCTACTCACTACTTTGAAGCCCATTTTTCTCATGTGAATGGAGAGAGACATCCCTTCCTCAGAAATGTGAGACTAGGAGATAACTCAGTGAAACATCAGCAACTCAACAGAGGACTGCTGTTGTAGAAAGGGATTTGAAGGCAGAGATGAGACCACGATCAGCCTGTTGGGTAACAGTGCAGACCACTCTGGTTAGACATCAATGTATGAAAATGTTCCAGCTATTATAGAAACTGAAATGTGGTTTGAAAATGTAGATCTGGTTTCTGGGTTGTTTGTTTTGCAGTACTGGAGACTGAACCCAAGTCCTCATGCTTGCCAGGCAAGCATTCCACCACTAGAGCCATGTGTCCCAGCCCTTGGATTTGTTGTGTCGTTTGTCTTTTTTCTTGGCAGCACTCATGTTTGATCTCAGGGCCTTGCCCTTGCCATGCAGGCACTCTACTACTTGAGGCATGCCCCAGCCTTTTTTGCTTTGTTAAGTAACCCCGAGACAGGATCTGGAGCTTATGCTTGGGCCATCCTGGACCACCATCCTCTTTACCCTTCCCATGTAGCTGGAATGGCAGGTATGCGCCACTGCACCCAGTTTTTATTGGTTGAGATGGTGCCTCATGAACTTTTTGCCCAGGCTGACCTCAAACCACAATCTTTCTAATTCCTGGAATTATAAGCACACTGGGTAGATTTAGTTTCTTTACACTCAAAATGGCATCTTCTTAGATACTTAGGAGTGGCCTGCGGTTCCTATGCAACCAAGGAAACTGAGGCAACAGGGGATGAAGTGTGGTCTTTGGTGACTGGATAGGAGTATGGCTTGAGTCATGCCAGCCTTACCTTGCTGGGCTTTTCTTTGCTGCTGCTGCTGGTGGAGCTGAGGGACCGCATGCGCTGCTCCTTCTGCTCCTCCACCTCAGACTTGAGGTGCTCGATGTGTACCAGGTAGGCCTGCTCCTGCGCCTCCCGCGTACTCAGCTTCAGCTCCAGAGCCTTTTTCTCTTTCTCCAGTAGGTATAGCTGTGCCTTCAGCTCTGCCATCTCCTCCTATAGAGCAAAGAGCACAGAGCCTGAGTGCCTGTGAGGGGCTACACCAGGTATGTATGAAGGGACACCTGGGCTACAACCCAGGGGCCCATGGTAGAGGAATCACTCTGACGCTGGGTATAAGATGATTTAGGAGGAGACAGGACAGCTGTCCCCACACATCTAAAGGACTGACATGTAGACAAAGCTGTGTGCTTTATTTTTCACTTTAGGGACTCAAACTGAGATAGATATGTGGCTTCAAGTTATAGGTGAGCAGATTTTGTTTCAGTATAAGAAAAACCTTTCTAATGGTTCATGGAACCCCAATGGGCACACCTGCCTTGCTGGAAACCCTGTGTGAGCATCCAAGCAAGGAGGGCTGGGTCTCACTGAGTCCCTTCCATTTCATTGCAGGTTCTATAGCACAAGCTACATATATGATGTCACCCTTGGGGCTTTGCACCTGAGCTAGGCTGATGGGAAATGCCCACCAAAATAGCATCCTCCAGCTCTTGTCTACTTCCAAGGGAGGGCCCAGGTGAAATCAACAGAAGAACCTTCATCAGACAACGTATGTGTGTGTATGTGTGTATGTGTGCGCGCGCGTGTGTGCTAGGGACTGAACCCAGGGCATGTGATGGACCTCTGAGCTACACTCCAGCAAGGCAACTTCTGAAAGTTGCTAAAAGAACTCAAATAGTTGTTTTCTGTGGGGAATAAGAAGTAAATCTAAAATGGATTCATGATGTCCTGAGACCAGGAGCTAGAAAACAGTGACACGTAGCAGTCTTTGTTGAACACACAGCCCTCACAAGAAGTCACTTGTTTAACTTCCCAAAGTTGCAGGGCACCACCAAGACCTGTCTTGTTGCTTTGAGGCTTGTCCAGAAGTCACTAGTCACTGTGCTCAGGGACCACTCAGAAGAACAGCTCAAACCTTGTTTTCCCTGAAGATCAGACACAAAAACCAAAATGAAAGAGGTTTCCAAACCCAGGAGCCTTCTCTCTCAACTTTTGCCACCAGAAGGTGGATTTTCTAGGATCTGGCCACTTTGCATCCTCAGCTAATGTGGCCAGCTACTTCCAGAATGAACACAAATGCAAGCTTGAGAGAAGACATGGTAAATGTCCCAGAGGACAGACTTCCACAGAGGGGCTGGCAAGGTGGACAGAGGCAGTAGACCAGTCTGAAAGCCGTGCTATAAAGGATCTTATCCTCATCCATGCAAGGACAGGCTGTGGCCAGACTAAGTATGACCCTTACAATAGCGGGGGCTCTCAAAGTACTGCCAAGAGTAAGAGACTAGAAAACTGTCTTTCTGGAGACATGGCAAGGAAGCCTGCCATCTCTCAGGGAATGGGTGAGAAAAGAAAGAAAAAGCCCTCTTGAAGAACAAAACCTCAACATTATGTCATGTGTACGTGTAAGTAAGAAGCCCAAGCTAAGAATATACAAAAACTAGTAGTAGTACTCTGAAATGCATAGGTCTCAAGACATCTAAACACAGGACTCCCAGAACATGGAGATGCAACTCCATTGAAGATGAGCCTGTGTGCATGTTCACCCAACAGAGATGGCAAGAGTGGTGCTGAGGGGGAACCAGCAGATGCAGAAGTAAGTCAGCATTTATAGCATTAAAGTAACAATGTGAAAAACTGGGAAGCAAATATTTCCATAAAAGGGATAAAGGAATGTAAGGAGAGCAGTGACAAAAGTGACTCCATTTTGGATGAGAGAGATGCTTTAGAAGCAGACATGTAAAAGAGGTGTGGGAAACAACAGGCTTCTCAGAGAAGTAACAAGCCCCTCCCCAAAATACACAATGTAGCTGCACAATGTGGGTAGTGGACCCCAAGGCCAGGACGAGTTGGGCAAACTTTCAAGGCCAAGATGAGCTGACCAGACCTTTTTGGAATGTTCTGTTTGATAAGGAGAGGGATGGACAGGTGGCCAAGTTTAACAAGAACTGGCTCAGTGCCAGCCAATCACAAATATAGTTTCAAGGTAGAATAGTTTAACCTAAGCCAGTTGGTGCCCTATATCATCTACTAGACTTAAGCCATTGTTTGGCTTAGCTCTTTCACTAAGTCCTACTTATCTGTGTGCTTTGCTATCCTTTCAATAAACTTTGTGCTTGCTTTACTCTTGGTCTGATGTCTTCAGTCATCCACTTGCCAGGGCACGATCTTGGGATCAACAATTCAGTATCAGGAACAGGAATCCCAAATGAAAGGATAGACCATTCTATCAAGAAGAGTGGACTGCAAGGGATCCAAGCAGACAAGCTCGAGATATAAAAGTATTCACCAAGATCATGTACCAGAAGTCAAAAGCCCTAAAACTTGAGTTTCTCAGCCATTACCTCCTAGAACAAAATGGTGAAATCCAACAGTATCTACTGGATAACATATTTGTACAGATGAGGGCACCTTGGTGAGCACACTAGGGAAAGGGAAAAAAGGAGACGGGGTTGATGTTTAGCCTTCCAGAAGTTCACAGGAGGAGAACCAAGTCAGAATGAGGGCAATGGCTACCCTAGATCCCCAGGTCCAGATTACATACATGTAGTTCTCTTCCTCCCAGCTTTTCATAACCTTTACTCCTTCAGAAAATTTGTAAGATGAGTACATAAGTTATTTTCAAGTGGCAAAAGAAATATCAGAGCTTTCATTCCACAAAAAAATGCTTTTTTCTGGCTAGAGTAACAATGAATTTGTTCCACTACATATTGAGCAGATATAAAAAGGAAATCCTTAGTCTCTCTCCAAACAAAACATGTTTGGAACAACTAACGGAAGGGCGACCTCATGGCTCATGCCACAGAGTGCAAGGTCAAAGGGGTTCCCAACCGAGGACAAGGTCACTGGGCTTATGGACCCAAAGCCTGGCTTATAGGCAGTGAGAGAACTCAGCTAGATAACAGGAGGACTCTCTAGGGAAGGGGACGCAGCTAAGTTGGATAGATGGAGACATGCAAGTCTGAACATGAAGTGGGAGAGCAAGGAGAGAGGGTCCTGGATTCCTGCATCTGCTCCTACTGCCCCGAGCCTTCCCATGCTCCACCAAGACTCAAACCCCAGGGATGCGCTAGGCTAATCATCCCAATGTGTTGGGATGACTGCTGCTGCCAGCCCCTATTCCCTGTCCAGAAGCAGTGTGACCAGAGGTGGGGATCTCTTCTTCCTGGGAACAGTACTGACCCCAATGCTGGAGATATATTATGAGCTATTACCTCAGCATTGCCATGACCCACTCTGCCTCTGGTTCCTAAACTGACTGAGCTCCAGCTTTTGCCCCTGGGGAATGCCCTCCATGCCTTAATTCCTGAGGCATGGACACAGCAGACCCCAAGGCTGTTCATCTCAGGCCTCTGTCTATAGGACAGTGGAGTTTGGAATCAGGTCTGGAAGCAAGACTCCTAGTCCCCTCTCTCCAGCAGTCCCCCTCTCTACAGAGATGCAGGCTGCAGTGGGAGGAGGAAGGCAGTGTAACTGTTTGCCAGTGAGGGGTACCAGCTTTTCAAGAAGGCATGCCCTGCTCAAGACATGCCAGCAGAGAATGCAACCCGCAGGTGAGCAACTCATGTTCTCAGGGACAGTGGCCTGACAGTTCTGCCAGCCTTCATTGGAGGGCACTAGGTCCCTCAGCAGAGATCACAAAGAGCCCTGAGAAGGCTCCACACCACTCCCAAGGCACTGGGTGTCAGGAAACCAGGCTCTCTACCAATTTCTGCTGCTGGCCTCACTTTGGTGTCTCCTTACCTCCAGCGAACGTCAGTACCAGCAAACCAAGTAGTGCTTTCCAGCATTCTTGAGATGGACAGAAGCTCATTCTACCCTGCAGAGTCTCACCTGGCTTCTCTTGGGAGGTGTAAGTGTTCTAGACCTGGGGGCGCCCACAGCAGCCTTGAGAGGTCAACTCCCTCTCTAGGAATATCCACCCTTAACACTCCCCAAACTGAAATCCATCCTTGTCCACAAAGTGAGGACCTCCTCCCACAGATGCAACTGAACACTGATAGGACAGGGTTGACGTCTCATGTGCTGCCCGTGCTCTCCAGACCTGTACCTTCATGGCCATCAGCTCCTGCATCAGCACGGCGTTCTCCAGGTCCAGTCTCTGGCTGTCTCCCCTCGGCTTGACATCATAGCTGAGCGGGTCTATATGAATGCTCTCCAGTTCTAACATGGTCAGCTTCACTGCAGCCCTGTCATTCTTGAGCTGCTGGATGTAATCCTTCAGCCTTTGCTCATCTTCTTTTGTGAACTCTGTGTCGCAGCTGCTGGCTGTGGAGCTGGTTGTGCTGGCAGGAAAGAGAAAAACCACGTCTCTAAGTCATTGTTGACAGATCTTTCCTTCTCACCCCTTTACCCCACCACTAATATGGCAGTCACAAAGTCTAAACCAAAACAAAACAAAAGCAAAAACAACAACTCCTAGGGGACCAAGGACAAAGTAGGATTCAAGGCTGTTCAAGTCAGGCCTCCCTCAGCATGGAAGGAAATCCTTGCCTGCACTCAGCTTTGTGATAAACCTGTTTGTGTACCAAACCCTTCAGGAAGCACTCAGGAGCTCACCTCCACAGACTGTCATCACTGATGGAGGGACAGGTGTCCTGTTGCCCAGGTAAGTGAGCAACGAAATTAAAGCAAACTCAAATGGTGATATTGTTCGCAAGACATCCCACAGGGGAAGGTGTGGAGATGTCCTCCCAGGTGCACCATGTTTGACATCGAGGGCTGGGGACAGCAGGGCTTCTCTTGTCAGTTGTTGTTGGTCTAAAGAATGACATACTTTCCCATAATCTGTGACTCAGGCATGAGTTTAATGCACAACTCTAGCCTCGCCTTTTATTAAAAATACTTTTTTAAACCTCAAATGCATGGAAACACAGAGAATAACCAACGCCCAAGTATGTCTACTCATATGGCATTTTGTCATAGTTTCTTCAGATTCATATTTTTTAATTTAATTTTTTATTAGCATATAATAGTTGTGCAGGGGATACATTGTGGTTTTTACATATGTGCTACAATGTACCTTAGGTAGATATTTACCCCTTCCATTGTAATCCCCAGATTGCTATTTTTGGAAATGTACCATTTATACTTGAGGTGCCCTTTCTTGATTTTCATTTAAAATAGAAATTGCAAAATTCAAATACAGAATTCTCTAGCTATTCTGCTGGAACTGAAATTATAATATTTTGCCAGATTTTTCCATTTAGCAGGACCACTAGTTCTCAGACAGGTCCCTGACCAGCCCCATGAGCACTGCCTGGTGCTTGTTGGGATACCATGCTCCCACCCCCTCCCACCCACAGAGAACAACTCTGGGAGTGGGGCCAGCAGTCTGTGCTTTGATTCAGATTCTGATGCATGCTCAGGTTTGAGAACCATGCCTAACCCACAAGACTAGTGGTCCTTTGCCAAATAGCCTGTGAGGTAACTGCACACTGTCAGATTTTCTAGGTAGAACCACTATGCTACAGGGTGATTCTGGTGGACTCCAGTGATTGCAAGTGGGACTCTGAAGTCAGTCAGACCTGGATATTCTCTCGGGCACTTCAGAGTGAATTTCCATCTTTCTGATGCAATAAAGAAGAACACTAAGAGCTCCCACCTCCCTGGTAGTAGGAACAACAAGATGGTTCTGAAGCAGTAGACCAGTAGGTGTGGCCACATGGCAGTTGCTCTAGCGAGTGAGCAGGTTCGGGAAGGCCACTTTCCTGACAGCTGCGCCCACAGCCACCCAACACCCTCCACCAGTCTCAGTGTTCCCCCAGGAGTCAATCACTGCTGACACCCAGAAAACCTCCATCTGAGGAGAAAAAAAGCAGCTAGTGCCTGAATAGTCTGAGAGAACGGGAGTGGGCTGGGAGTGACAGGCATTGTCCCCCCCTGGCCTGGAGAGGATCCCTGGCCAGGAAGGAAGGCTTTTGCATCACCTCCTTTGCTTTAACCATAGTTTTCAAAAATGAAGGAAAGAAGAGCAGAAAAATCTTAGTCCATGGATCCTACCCTGTGTTAAGATCAGAAGTGTACTCTGATCTTCAGCAGCGTGAAGGTGAACTTCAACACAAGCCTCACAGTCCAAGATTCCGCCAGCCTCCCTCTCTCCCTTCCAGGACACCGGCGGGGACCTGATCAGGCGAGGTTAATTACAATTCTGCCTCGTGCCCTACATGTCGCATGGCGGAGTATGATTATGACTATGGTAAGAGGAAGAGAAGCCACTGGCCTTTCCTCTGGCCTCCCGAGGGCTGCTGTCAGCTGCCAAGTCATCCATTCCCTCTCCCAGCTCGGAGCGCAGGATAAGCTCAGCTGTCAGGGGCAGTAAATCACTTTCTGCAGCCACGGATTCCTCCTCTCCTGCGGGGCTGGAGGGGGGTGTTGTGTGAGTAGGATGGAGGAGGAGTGCCACACATGTTTGGTTTTACTCTAGTTTTGTGAGGAGCTTGATAGGATGAGTGGCTTCTTTGGTGATGTGCATCCTGTCACACATAGCCAGGTGGACACTCATAGCTGCCCTCTGTCCACCCTGAGCACTGTGGAACATGCTATTGATGGACTCTCATCTCTCTGTCCCTCTGCACTGGGTTCCGTCTCTGTCCTCAAGATCCCATCCTGCTCATTAGAGGAAAAAATTCATCTTCCTTCAGCTTCCTCAGCTTGCTGTGTCAGAAAGCTAGAGGACACTTCCTTTCTTTTGCCCCTAAAATCACTAATGGAGTTTCCCAGAAGGTTCTATAGCATCTTCCCTGGCCCTAATTGAGACAGGATTTCCATTAAGGGGCTGTTCATTTTCACAAGAGAAGTGCCATGGGTCAGGACAACTGTTTGGCTGAGTATGTGAAATTGGAAGAGAGGGTGACATGGCATTTAAGTCACTCCCAGGTGGGAGTTCCTCCAAGCAGAAGTTGGGCTTAGTCAACTGCCTTTATCTTTTAATGTTGTACTGAAGTCATTCCCCTCCCCCACCCCACCATCCCTCTTTGACAATGAAGGACTTTACAGCAAAGGACTAAAAACACTATATGTAAACTCCAAACCTCTCATACGTGTATGCTCTTGAATGATTACTACAATTCTCTAGAAAAAAAATTGAGGTTAAATATTTTGTCTCACAAAATATGGCTGTCAGAAAACCTGCAGTCAGATAAATAAAGTCCTCAAAAACTGCCTGGGTCCAGGAAACTCTTGAGGACTCAGCTGATAATGGAAGTTGAAATAAGAAATAAATCCTACACATGCAGCCATTTTTACAGTTGCTGTCATAACAGTGTTGGAAACCAGGCATCTCTGAACAAATAGCCATCCCTGACTTGATCACTGATAACAAAATGAGATAGATAGCATCTAGGCTCAATAGCTACAGACAGCCAAACTGACAAAAACAGGGACTGTATGACCCAGTGAGGGCAAGGCTGTGGACAGAGAGGCCCATCCAGACAGGCTGGAGGAAAAATAACTGGTTATGGGGAGGGGGGGCAGTAGGGGAGACCATTTGACCTTAGAAACTGATGGTTTTTGAGCCAGCAGATTCAACTTAGAACTGGTCCCACAAACTGCACCGCAGGAACAGCAACGTCAAACTGGTGGAAAACGGCGCAGATGTCCAATGAGAGGAAATGTTTAAATACAAGGACAGCATCGTGATCCAAAAGAAAACTATGGAACTATGTAAAAGAATGACATGTTTGGGGGAAATGTCTGAGAATATAATGCTAAGGGAAAAGCATGTTTTAAGAGAGTTCACATAATTGGACATTGTGAAGTTAAAAAGTTAGATGTGGTCATGTTTTTATATACAGTGTGTGTGTGTGTGTGTGTGTGTGTGTGTGTGTGTGTGATGCCGCCATGTTTTAATTGATCTGCTGGGTCCCCACCTCTCCAGGTTCTTCTGCACGACATACCCTTTCCTTCTCTATCCACATGGCTCCCATGGGAACTGCTGTGGCCCCACGCAGCCATGCCCACCTAGGTTTTTCTTACTTG